TCCTGTAAGTCGCTCTGGTTAAGAGCGTCTGCTAAATGACTAAAATGTAAATGTAAAATGTAACCAAGGTTAATTTGTAGAAATGACGGCCACCTACAAAGCTCCTTCAAGCAGAGCCATTTCTGTGCAAGTGACAGTTGTGTGTGCGTTTAGGATTCGCTCATGCGCAATTGTCGTGTCAGGTATAATTGCAGTTGGCATAGGTTATGCCAGGCAAAGTATCAAGGTGTAGCGTACCAAGGCTGAACTTTATAATGGCAGGTGGTGACTAAAACATACTTGCTGCTTACTTTCCCGTTGACCTTTTTCCATTGAAAAAGCACTTGAAGAAAAAAACTACAGATGGTGCACACTCTGCAACATGGGAGACAAGCACTTTACTGACAATATAAACCATCCAACAAAGCTCTGACAATCATTGTCAAAAACAACTCTTATTCACTGCTTCAATCCAGGGAGATTCATTTACATGGGTTCATGAGGTTTATATTTATATATTCAGAAATGTACATCTGTTTATTTTTTTATTTATTTTTTCGCTTCCTCTCGGTTGGCTAATGGTGATCCAGCAATGTTTCTTAGGTAGGGGGAATGTCCTTGTGCACTAGAGAGGGTCTAATCGGTGAAAGGAAAGCTCCTCTGTCTGTTCTGACTCCTGTCCTCTTCAGCAGACGACACATCCACCTTTCAACTCCTTGAATGGGTTCTTGTCCTCTGCGATGCCTTTGACCAGGGTGTCGTCTTCCACACCGGCCTGAACGGCCTCCATAAACTCAGTACAGCACTTAGACGTCTGTCGTACGAAAGAAGGGTAAACCGTTAACACACAACTGTAATATCAAGAATGCCATTACAGTCTCATTTGATGACCAATCCATTCCACGTATTGTTATTACATAGATATTACTTTTACAACTGGAAAAATTATCAATCAAAGTAAGCTGGTCGAATTTACCAGCCATCTCTCAAGCTTGACTTCAATCTTCTTTTGGTCTCTTTCCATTTTAGCCTTATCCACATCTGTCAACTCGTCCATATTTATCACCCCCGGCATTGTCTGTCAAATAAAATAAATACATTGTTGCCGAAGGGAAGGTAAACATTATTCTTAAAGTAGAGCCACACTCACAAAAACTATTTTAAAATGTGTCTCGTAGAAGCTAAATAGTCATCATTGCATGCATTAGGTGGTACTTCATTAGTTGTTTTGTTGATTAGGGTTGTGAATATTCATTGATATTTTTTTTTAATAGTCCCCAATCCTACGCTCAGATTATCCCTTCCCTATGATTGCTAGATTAATTAATTAAATAATATTAATTTATCAAATATATATTAATTACATAAAAGACAAGGAACAAAAAGACTTAAAGCGTCTTACAAGGACCAGTCTTCCACCCCTGAATACTGCCAGAGAAATCCCTCTCCTCTCCCTCAATCCGGGTTATAAAGTAATCTGCATAAACATCCTAATCTCTTAATCTGATTAAAACCAGGCCCTTTATTCCAACACTGCAGAGGCCAAAGGTTCACTCTCCGAAGTACAGGTGTTATGAGTCTCTTTTGTTTTAACCACATGGCAGTTGTGTTGTTGAGACGTCGAAGAGTTGCAGTGAGAGTGGAAGAATATGAATAACATGTGGATACGTACAATATGTTGCCTGTGATTGTCTTCACTGTTCCAGTGCAGATAAGGGTCAAGGGGAATGACACAGCAGTTAATGTTAGCATGATAAGAAGACTAATCTTTATTTACCTTCAACCTGTCATGTTGAAGGATACATCATCATTAGGATCATCTGCATTGTTGGAAAAGGACCTGTAAGTAGGCATTTCACTGTTAGTCTAAACCTGTTGTTTAGATATAAGGGATGGATGAGCTTGAACTGAAATCATAGAGATACGGCTGCATCCATGAGATAAACTGGCTGGTTCGAGCCCCGAATGCTGATTGGCTGACAGCCATGGTGTAAGGGTTGGTGTGAGGTGTGACCCAGGTGCGGTGCAGGATAGACAGTAGGCAGTAGGCAGAGATGGTGAAACCAGGATCTTTACTGGTGGTCCCAAAACCAGGATACAAAATAACGGACTTGTCACAATAAAATAAAGGAGGAGCAAATTGGTCTCCAAAAACAGGCTGAAAACAACAATGAAACAGGGAGAACACTTCTCAAGTACCTGTACATATGTCTCGCGATCAGACACTGATTAGTACTGTTTGGCATTAAGAAACTAGCAGAGAAAACAGAGCAAGGGAACACAGGGAAGTGAGGGCATAAATACACAGGTGAACAGGTAGACACAGGTGACACCAATAGGGTCATGATTAGTTCAGACTGTGAGTGAGGAGGTGCCTAAGGTTGTCGGAGGATGACACCTAGTGGGTCGCTCCGGAACTGCGACCCCCTCCTGTAACACCGTGGTATGTGAGACCATATACCACAGGTATGACAAAACTTTAATTTTTACTGCTCTAATTACGTTGGTAACCAGTTTATAATAGCAATAAGGCACCTTGGGGGGTTTGTGGTATATGGCCAATATACCACAGCTAAGGGCTGTATCCAGGCACTCCGCGTTGCGTCATGCTTAAGAACAGCCCTTAGCCATGGTATATTAGCCATATACCACACCCCCTCAGGCCTTATTGCTTAAGTATAGTCTAAGTAACTATAAGTCTACATTTTCTATGGCTTTGGGATGAAGCAAGGTAACAAGCGTTTTCAGTGTAGAGTCTAGATCTAGGAAAGATACTGCAACTGATGCATCCATGAGATGTGTTCCTATGTATCTATTAGCCTACATGTTCTATGGCTTTTAGATGTAGCATAGTGGTCACTGGTCAGACATTATCCTGTCAAGGGAGAAAGAGTATTGTGCCATGGCGAGAATGGGGTGGCGAAGGTCATTTCTACTGAAAGGATGACAGCCTCCTCTACAATATACTGAGAGAGATGGGATCAAGGTTTAACTAAGAGGACAGTCAGGGAGAGAAAATGGCCTTGGTTTAAAATGAGTTTGTGAATGGGTTCATGTTATGAAATCATTCCCCCCTCCTGTTGCTGTTCTCTACTAGCTCTCCACCTATGTAATTGAAATGTATTGAGATTGAGGAATAGGCCTTTCTCTTCTTAGACCAAGGCTCCTATTCAATATTCAATCAATTACAGGTCAGGTACTGAGGATAATTCTGCAGTCTAGCCTACATTTGAATTGTGCTGCCTGTACGTTTTGGATTCAAGCACAGAACAAAACAGGGTGTACAGTGTGAAACAGAAAGAATCTCCACTGCAAATGAATTGGAACATGTTTGGTGCTCTGCATGAGGGGAGACAAGGTAGGTTTCTATCCAATTTGCGACAGATTTTCATGCATATATTCTAAAATCTGCATAAAACAATATGTGCATTTTCCCACCTGGTATGTGTTTCTATCAAACGGACTTTTTGCAGATAGAAGGCTGTGTGTGATGACATCGTGCACATAAAAATTACTTTTGCGGTTAAATTCCCATGTAATGAATGAAAAATACAAGTTAAATGTTTGTTTTTTTCTGTACTTTTTAACCACTTATTCGTGATATTCAATTGGTAGTTACAGTCACAAAATATGCTACAAAAGGTGGGATCTTTTTGTGTCAGTAAAATTAATTATGCAAGAAATTGCGGTGGCAACGCTTTTATGCACAAATATTGATATAATAACCATCATATTGAAGAAAACTTGGAGTCACGTGATGACATGTTGCGTGGTCCTCCCACTACAACTCGGGAAAGCATGCAGTTTATTAGGCTACAGATTAAATAAATTAGGATGAACTTCACAGGGTGGTGAAAGTGAATGGGGATGAGTTTCATGCTCATTTCCAATAAATATCGAGGGTCTTATTCTGGTGACATGATGATCGATGCTTTGCCGTTTGACAAATACAAATAATCTCGCTATTTTGTCCATAATAGTCTCATTATGTAGTAGGCTATACCAGCACTGTATCTGCGATTTGTTGGCTAGAGCGCACGTGGCAATACCAGAGTGGGCATATTCCCTATATAACTCAAAAATGTTTGTGACAAAACCACCAGTAGAGTTCAAAATGCGATGGAAACCCATTTCAATTATATTTTTTATTCGGTACATGGGAATTTAACGACCAAAGTTATTTTTATGTGCACCACGTCATCATACACAGCCTTTTATCCTCAACAAGTAAATATGTTGGAAACACATCTCTGATGGGAAATGCGGAATTTTAGAATATTCGCATGAAAATCTGTTGCCAAACCTGGCTAGTTCACACACATACTGTACATCTATATAATTATATGGAAATTACAAATGAGTCATTATCAGCTATAGCCCGCCCCTACGGTTCGTTGGGAAAACCTTTATAAGAGTATAGATGTCTGCACTTCTCGTGCGTAAAGTTAGAAGAGTTTGGATAGTTGAATTTGGAACCGATCTACAACAATGGAGTTCAGTTTATTGATTTTTCTGATGCTTTCATGCTCGCTTTGTTACGTTTTTGCATTGTCACCGAAACAAGGTAAAGAAAAATGTGATTATCTTGTATGAACTTTATTCTTAATACCGTGACTGCTAGTCACATGTTGATTGTATTCGTTTTGAGAGTTCTCAAAGCACCAAACTACCTTTCAATCCCATGATAATCAATTAAATAGGCGTTGGCTCATGCCTTTCTAGTAGTGATAAAGTTGTTGTTGACATGTACTTCAGCATGTGAAATTCATTTACCTAGGGGCTCTATTCGATCCGTATCGCGGAAATACAGCGTTTCAGTTTGATTGACAGTTAAAGGCAACGTTCCCTCATTAGCGGAGACCGCATTCATGGTAAACGCTTCAGGTTTAATAGGAATTTACCTTTCAATTTCTAGCATGCTATCTGTAACGCTAATTACAAAGCCAGCAATAGTGTTGATGTTGTGTGTTTCTTCTCATTCCAGAGGTGTGTCTTCTTCAAGTAGATGATGGACCTTGCAGAGAAGATATCCAGCGTTACTACTACAATACAATCACTCAACAATGTGAGGAGTTCAGCTATGGAGGCTGCCAAGGGAATGAGAACAACTTCATGAGTTTTCAGGCATGTAAGAAAGCATGTTTTAGGATACCAAGTAAGTTGACCTTTATTTGTATTTTTTATAAAAGTCTGTATTCGTTTAGCAATTTTGCCTTTGCATTGAAAAGTTTGCTATTTTAAATAATGTATTCATTTATTTGATATGCCATCAAGACTATTGTAACCATTCAAATCGTGAAGTTTGTGGAAATCTGGCCATTAAAGCACTATTTAGTGTTTTTGAAAACGTTTTGAAATGGACACTTAAACTTATTTAGGGTAAATGGCAATACACCGTGACACGTTTCACTTTTTAATAGTTCTTCTAAGAATGTGTGTCTTTGCACCTTCTCCCCCCACCAGAGATCCCCCAGATCTGCAGGTTCCAGAAGGAGGAGGGTCCCTGCCGTGCCATGCACTGGCGCTACTTCTTCAACATGACCACCATGCAGTGTGAGCAGTTCATCTACGGCGGATGCCAGGGCAACGAGAACCGCTTCCAGGACCAGATGTCTTGCATGGAGTACTGTAGACCACACAAAAGTATGTGGAGAATGGTCAAAGTCAACAGTCAGGCTGTGTTCTATCAGCTGTGCTGCACGATAGGGAAAGCATTTCCACATTCAGTGTTGAGTACATAGGCTCATTCCACGTAAACAATGCTATTTAGAAACAGATTCTACTGTGTTCTACTGTGTTCACTCTGTTGTGTTATTAACTTTGTATTAATTTTGAGGAAACATATTTAACTTTGCTCGCAAGAATTACACAAGGAATTATGTAGAAACAAGATTAGAGGAACCTTTTTCATGAAATCGGCCGAGCAATTTGATTGTAAACACCCACATCCTCGTCACACCCTAGCCATGAGGTCATGTAATAGTTGATGTTTACAGATGTAGGATCTTAATTTACATCTTAATTTGATCACACTGTTGCAGGACAACTTTCCTGCAATGCAGGACATTTTAAACTTGTAGTGTATTTGAGGTTTAAAAAGGCTTCTGAAGTTTGTAATTTCCACTTTAAAATGTCATACTTGATTTTCCCTTATGAAATGTATCAACCCCTACAAACATTACCATTAAAGATGCACTATGCAGAAATGGCTTCACCATTTCCTGGTTGCTAAAATTCAAATAGTTAGCCTAATTTCAGTTTATGTGACAAAACAAGCAAATATAGTGTAGAGAATTATTGTACCATTTAAACCATTGTGAAATATATTTTCCATTACCAAAACTGTTGTATTTTCAGCTGTTTGAAGCTGGTGTACAAAACCGAAAGTAAAAGACGTAAAAATGTAACTTAAGAAGCATAGAATTAGCACACATAAAACAGATCTACCGCTTCTTAGACTTGCTTTCAGAATGACAGATCTACAGTGAGTTAAAAAAGTATTTGATCCCCTGCTGATTTTGTATGTTTGCCCACTGACAAAGACATGATCAGTCTATCATTTTAATGGTAGGTTTATTTGAACAGTGAGAGACAGAATAACAACAAAAACTCCAGAAAAACGCATGTCAAAAATGTTATAAATTGATTTGCATTTTAATGAGGGAAATAAGTATTTGACCCCTCTGCAAAACATGACTTAGTACTTGGTGGAAAAACCCTAGTTGGCAATCACAGAGGTCAGAGGTTTCTTGTAGTTGGCCACCAGGTTTGCACACATCTCAGGAGGGATTTTGTCCCACTCCTCTTTGCAGATTTTCTCCCAAGTCATTAAGGTTTCGAGGCTGACGTTTGGCAACTCTAACCTTCAGCTCCCTCCACAGATTTTCTATGGGATTAAGGTCTGGAGATTGGCTAGACCACTCCAGGACCTTAATGTGCGTCTTCTTGAGCCACTCCTTTGTTGCCTTGGCCGTGTGTTTTGGGTCATTGTCATGCTGGAATACCCATCCACGACCCATTTTCAATGCCCTGGCTGAGGGAAGGAGGTTCTCACCCAAGATTTGACAGGTACATGGCCCTGTCCATCGTCCCTTTGATGCGGTGAAGTTGTCCTGTCCCCTTAGCAGAAAAACACCCCCGCTGCAGGATTTCAGTCCTTCACGGCGTAGTGTGTTACCAATTGTTTTCTTGGTGACTATGGTCCCAGCTGCCTTGAGATCATTGACAAGATCCTCCCGTGTAGTTCTGGGCTGATTCCTCACCGTTCTCATGATCATTGCAACTCCACGAGGTGAGATCTTGCATGGAGCCCCAGGCCGAGGGAGATTGACAGTTATTTTGTGTTTCTTCCATTTGCGAATAATCGCACCAACTGTTGTCACCTTCTCACCAAGCTGCTTGGCGATGGTCTTGTAGCCCATTCCAGTCTTGTGTAGGTCTACAATCTTGTCCCTACCATTAAAATTATAGACTGATCATTTCTTTGTCAGTGGGCAAATGTACAAAATCAGCAGGGGATCAAATACTTTTTTCCCCTCACTGTATAACTGACATTTCAATGTGAATTTAGTCAGGTCGCCCAAAAAGTTACATATTGCAGCTTTAATTATAATCTACATACTAATTCACATTTCCTGTTGCTGTAAGATTTTTTTTTCCTGCTGGCTCAAATTAAGATCATACATCTGTAAGTAAAGAGGAAATTAAACAAGATAAAAGGAACAGTACAAAAATACCAACCCTGACTCTAACAGCCTGCTCTATCAATACAATACTCAAGGGTCTCACAGTATGCGAGTTCCTTAATTTTCCGCAAAAATTGCCCTGAAATTATTCCATATGGCCCTCTATACAGTTGTGCTTCTGTTTATGTTCAGAAGCCGGAGATGAGCCTCTTGGTCTAAAATGAGACAATGCTAGCCGAAGAGTAGACTGCAATTACAGAGTTCTTGTTGTCCTTTTTTTTAGACACCTTTATTCCGAAATGATTCCATCCAGTGCCCTCGCTCAATTTTACATCTACTAATGTTATTAAGACACCAGAGATTAGCTTCTTGGTTTAAAACTAGATAATGTTAGCTGAAGATTAGCCTTCTCTCTCACAGAGTTCTTATAGTTGTTTTGTGTGATTGCCAGCTACTCCTGTGCTCTGCCTGGATCCCCTGGATAAAGGAGGCTGTGCTGCATCTATACCACGCTACTACTACAACTCAGCCTCCAGGATGTGTGAGCGGTTCATCTATTCAGGCTGTGGAGGAAGCAGCAACAACTTTATATCCAGGCAAAGCTGCGTGGACGTCTGTGCTAAAGGTATGATAATGGTCATGACACACATACGCATGCACATACGTGCACGCACGCACACACACACACCTACCCACACAGGTGTACCTGTGTGCATATGCACGCGCACACACATACAAACACGCACACACAGTATCCTCTATTCTTTGTTTATCTGAAGATAGAACTGGGGGGGGTGTTGTTGAATATAATGAACAACAGACTTATTACATTTGTCAGCCCAACAACCATTTACATGTTCCCCATAATTGCAGTAATGGCTACAGGGCTTCTCATTAGCGCAAGCTAACACACTGAATATATTTTTAGTATCCCAGTAATAATTTAAATGTGGCAGTTTATAGACAGGTTAAAGTTACATGTAGCTGTGTTTTTTGGTGATTATGTGACTGGAATACTGAATAGATGAACCGCTCACACATCCTGGAGGCTGAGTTGTAGTAATAGTGCGGTATACGGATCAGATTATAAGAAAAATGCTTTATGACTTTGTCAATTTCTAACTGGGGATCAAGCGCAGCCAGCTTTCAATGCAGTACAGTGCCCCAAAACAGCTGGATTACACCTCAATCTCTCAATATTGGCCACATTAATTGGATATTTGAGTAATATAAAATACAATTATACTATAAATGACAAGTATGTGTTGTTTAGATTAATCTGCACACAGTTTTCAATAGTTTTAGATGGTTTTAGTCGTGGTCAGGCTCTTCCTGCCCCCCAGCAGGCAAACCGAACGTTCTGCACGTGACTGTGATGTATTAATAACCTGTATGTCATTTTCTTTGTTTCAGCTGGGAAACCATGGAAAATCAGAAAAACAGGCATGAAGAGAACAACCACCAAAAACCGCATTAGAATAAAGCCTAATAACGGTATTAAACGGTCAACAATTTGATTCAGTGATTTTTATTCAAAGGGACATGAATTGACTGTAAATGAACAGACATTGATATGTTGAATTGTATGTTTTTTACTGCACCAGAAGTAACTAGCTACTTGCACTGCCTTTTCTATAGACCTAAACTGTGATGCACAGATGAAAATAGCGAACCAACCACTCAAATGTGAATCAACCTACACCAGCAGTATTTTTGCTGAGTAGCTTTCTCAAGACAGTGTCGGGGGCCAGTATGAAAAATGTATGCACTCACTAACTGTAAGTCGCTCTGGATAAGAGCGTCTGCTAAATTACTAAAATGTAAAAAATTTAATGTATTGTAGAATACATTTACCATGGCAACTATCATACAATATAGCATTTTATTTTTGTTAGCAAAATAATTAATGTATTTTTTGTGTTTTTAACATAGTACTTTTCAACAAAAACCTTTGGTTAGCCTTATATGGCATATTTTGGCATATTTAGGATATTATTTTAAAAAAAGCTAAACTTTGCCTTGTCTGGATAGTCCTGTTATTAAGTATGAATAAGAACTGAATGTGTGTTAATACTTCTTCATTTTCCTCTGGCTCCTCATTTGTCACGTATGCTTGCATCGTCACCTTGTCCCTTCTGGGTTTCCACTAGATAGCACAGCCACAATGTCCAAATTGGCTATTATCATAAAAAGTAATGAGAACAAAAATGCGCTTTTTGGTCTTCATTTAAGGTTAGGGTTAGTCATAAGGTTAGCAGTGTGGTTAAGGTTAGGGTTAGGTTTCAAATCAAATTTCAAGAAGATAAATAGAGAAACAGGCAATCTGTGGTACATAATAACACACGGACACATTCCCGCCCATTATACAATAACATGACATGACATTTCACATGTATTTAGTTGTTTTGACATGAACCCTAACTTACAAGTTTTTGTTGAGAAACAAACATCAGAATAGAAAAGTAATAACCTGTTCTGTTTACTCTCATACATTTTATTGTATCTGGAAATATTCGTTTTGGCAGCATAATCAGTATACACAGTGCTTGACTTGGTCAGGAGCTCACCGCAACTGAGTACTGGCACCTCAAAATGTCTACTGCTTCAGTTCCTGCACCTCTGATAGAATATTGGCTTAAAACTATTGCAGAGTTCCTGCACCTAAATACAGTATAAACAGTACCGGCACACAAAATGAGTACCGGGACCAATTTCAGTCCAAGTCAAGCACTGAGTACACAGACATGTCTTTCTTGTTTTCAGTGTTGTTCCCTACCATCTCAGACATGGAAAAAAGTTTCATACATCTTCTCAAGTAGAGTCTCATAAAACTGGGCCTAGGAGCCATTTGTTGTCATCCACTCCGTTTTACCCATCCTGTGCTTTTTTCACATGATTCAATCATCCCATAAAATAACAGTTGTGGCGCTGTGATCCAGCGGCAATAAATATTTATGGAAGTCATCAAAGGTAAATTGCTAGCCCATTCAGCTGGGATATAAATAGCATAAAACCTGTCTGACTGGTTCTCTATTAGGAGTCCAGGGTAAATCATCCATTACTGAGGAGATGATGTCATAAATAGACTATATCTGGCCGTGGCTATCTCCCTGTCCTTAGATGGAGTCACAGGATGCTAGCGTTAGGAAGGAGGCGGACAGTGACACAACTCAGCAAATCCAATAGAACACCACCGGACCAGAAACGTAGGAAGCATTAAAAAGGATTTAGAAGGAATTAAAATGTTCCCATATTTTTCTGTATGCAAATTGCTACTTTGAAGTTTGAACTCCTCGCTTTTGTCAAAAAACAAAGACACATTTCAGAGAAGATCGTTCTTAAGTTTAATCACATAGAAAATGTATCCCTGTTTTTTGTTGCTTTGTTATGAGATAAAACCTCCAGCAAAAGCCATTAAAAGCTGCCCATCTCTGTAATAGACTTGGTGGTTTATTTTCTATTACAGACAAACCATCTGAAATGGAACCTATTCATTCTAAATGGTGCTGATTATGAGAGATTTGACTCACATAAGAGTACTTGAGGCCACTGTATTAATCACAGGACATTAGGTAGGGCAATTTACTGGTAATTCATTCACTGTTTTAATTAAATTACTTTTATATAGAGAACCATGAGTTCCATGTGCTAATCAGTCCATTTCATGAGTAATCAGACCCTTTAGCCCTATACCTTACATAATGTATAAGCCTAGCCTGTTGTTCTAGGGCAATTTTCAGTTCTATATACAATTGTCATTCTCAGACCCGTCGCCAGACCTCAGTCTTAAGGGGGGCATATGAAATGCATGGGAGGGCAGGGCACAATTATTATTAGCCTACAGTACGTATATTTAATAATAAATTCCCTCAAGTGGGGGGGGGGGGGGGGGGCACAAGCATTTTTGGGGGTGGGCCCGGCCCCCTATGGCCCGCCCATAGCGACGGGTGTGGTCATTCTATATACATTTAAATAATAAAACATGAGTATTTTTCATAAAAGCGATTGCATGTATACCAAATAATCATGTGTTCTATAAATAATATAATTGAAAGTGCTGGAAGCTAAAAGATGGTAGTTAACCAAGTTTGAGGATGACTTGGGGACTTAGGTAACAGAACTTTAGGCGCCTCCTCGTGGCAGAATTACACCCGTTACAGCTGCCCTTGGCAAACAACAATGGATGTGCATTCCAAATGGCACCCTATTCCCTGTATAGTGCACTACTTTTGACCAAGGCCCATAGGACTCTGGTCAAAAGTAGTGCACTATATAGGGAATAGGGTGCCATTTGGGACGCAGACCACTGTATGCTTGAGAAAGTGGAAAGCTATGCAACACAGGTAAACCATCCAGTAGCTCCATGTGGACTGTATATTAGTATCCATAATAAACAGAGTCTATTACCAGCATTATACCAGAGTATATTACTTCTAACTACTTTATATGTGGATGGATACGGTCCTCCGTCTGTTAGGACCTCACAGCTTGGCAAGCAGGGCCCAGAGCATAAACAGCCACTGGGTGGGGATCCAAGGCAACGTTTATTAACTGCTGGATTGAGCACGCAGCAGCACCCCTCTCCTTTCCATCCCTTCATCATCCCTCTGAATTATCCCAAAAAGGGAATCAAGAAGTTTGTTCATGTTGAGGTGACTGATATAATAAAGAACCGAATTAAATAATCCTATGAAAGAAGTACATTTTCTGACCTTTGCTCACCAGCTGGCACTTTTTGGTGTCAGTCTCCAGGTACGTCTTAAATGGCACCCTATTCCCTATATACTACACTACTTTTGACCAGAGCCCTATCAGCCCTGGTTAAAAGTAGTGCACTACAAAGGGACTACAAAGGGAATAGGGTGCTATTTGAGATGCATCCTAAACCAGGTGGTCCTCTGTAGCTCAATGTGGTCCTCTGTAGCTCAATTGGTAGAGCACGGCGCTTGTAACGCCAGGGTAGTGGGTTCGATCCCCGGGACCACCCATACGTAAAAATGCATGCGCACATGACTGTAAGTCGCTTTGGATAAAAGTGTCTGCTAAATGGCATATTATATTATTATTATAAACCAAACATCTTCTGACTGAGTGCTCTGGCGCCTGGCTGTTTCCGTACCAGCACATGGCATCACACTTTCCCCAGAGTCCATCATCCAGTGTGGGATTAAGAGGAGTGTCTCTCTCTCTCACCCCTGCATGAATTGATCTCTCTGGTCTGGTCCAAGGCTGGGCTGGGCTGGCCTGGCCTGGCTGACACTCCCTGTCTATCTGTCTCACCGCCTACGTTCTCTGTCACGTGGCCATGTTATGGAAACACAGATCAACTGTACTGTATACCTCTGCTGTAGTGGTGAAAAAAGTAGTTGTGGTGAAAAAAGTTACTCTCCCTATACTTTCAATGCATTTTTCTGCAAAGGGTGGGTAAACTGTCAAGCAAAAAAATAAATAAAAAACTGGGTAAACTGCGTTTACTTGCGTTTACCCTCCACTACACTACTGCTCTGCTGTAGACATTGTAATGGGCTACAGGACTA